GGGGGAAAAATGAGCTGATGCCAGGGGCTTAAGTGGAGAGCAAATGTTTTGAGAATGATGAGGGCAATGAATGTACAAATGTGCTTTACACCATTGATGTATGTATGGATTGTGATGAGTTGTATGAGCCCCTAATAAAATGATTTTTTAAAAATTTGTTACTAGATTCGTATTCTATTAACTTATTTATAATTAACTATTAGACTTAGAAACTGTTTTGTTTTGTTATGTAGAGAAACTCCCAGAAAATGTATGTGGTTTACAAATACAAACCATCCACTGGGCTTCTTGCGAATTATTTCAAAATGCCAGGGCTCGCACGACAGGAAGCTGCTGGGTATGTGGGTTTTCAGCATCCTTCCAGCGTCCCATTTTAAAGTTCCTTTTGTTTTTAGGGAATTCAAGTTTGGACCAATGCTAAGGAGTGCTTTAGCAAGATGTAAACCTGTGGAATGCATTTCTCTTCAATCAAAGTGCCCCAAAGCAGAAGCACAAGTCAATAAAAGGAGTTTAAGTTGCTACCCAAAGTACACATAAGCATACCATAAGTTGAGTACATTCAACGGTCTTTCACTGATTGTAGTTGTGTGACTATAGCACACACACACACACAAAATGTATTTTAATAAGAATTAAATATTGCAGTTGAGGTTTGGGGGACTGGTGCTGATTCCAAAAAGTCAATTTGATAATAAACACCACAGATTGCTTGTCAGGCTTCTGAACCAATGACTGAATGTCAGGATGCCCCTAGTCTCTAGGTGTTCATTTCCGTGCCAGCTGTCTCGGATCTGTGATACAGGGATGTTTTTCCTAAGACCGAATGCCTATCTTTTCTCGGGTAAGATTCACCTATCTGTTACAAGGGGTTATTTTTCTTGCCTTATAGTTGAGCCGTTTGGTTTGACAAAGATCAGCAGAAACTTAGTATGAAATCTAAGATGTTCGCCCATATTCATTGAAGCCCCCTGTAACATTTGCAGACACTAGAAAATGCCTTCAATTTGTGTTTTACCAGAATTTTGATACTGGCCAAAAATTTTATACTGCCAACAACGACGACTTCTCAGCTATATAATGGAATAAATACATTGTTGTGATCTAGAAATCACTATATAGAAAGTTTTAATTGATTGTCTTACATATGAAAATGCTTCTCAAATAATTCTTCACCTCAGTGATGAGTCTGGATGTACTCTGCATGGCTCTGTGCACACGGCACTCCAGGGTACGAGATGTGTGTACTCAGCAATGCGTCTCCCTGTCTCCATCACTAACACCTCCTTTCTATTGCCTGGCTATGGTTTGTGTAAAGATAAATTATATATTGTGTGTGTGTACACGTGTGCGTGTGTGTTTGTGGTATATGTTCAAAATCCAAGCACCCTTATTTTGCGAGCTTTGCAGAATCTTAAATGTATACTCATTGTTTCTAATTATGTAAAAAAAAGTTTAGCATATGACTTTTTTACATGTTTAAAATGTTGCTGGATTTTGTGCTGTTTGCCAAACTTAGACAATAAACAAATGAAGTATTGTGCTGGTTTTCAGGTGATTTTTCTTTTAATGATCTGTTCATATTAGTGTCTGATGTCCTGTAAGAGAATAACATTTGCCATGTTACCTATGTTTAATGAAAGCCAAGGATACAAATCCGTGTGTGTGTTGTTTTGTTGTTTTATACAGATGTGTTTTTTAAAGGACAGTTGCTAACATGAGATGGGCTGTTAAACTGTTTACTGGGGTTATAACAAACACAAATAGGGGGAAGAGGGCAGATGATCCCCTCAGGACCAGTGCTGAGAGCAGCCATACCGGGAGCGGGGAGGGAAGGTGGGGTAGAAAGGGGGGACCGATTACAAGGATCTACATAGAGCCTCCTCCCTGGGGGACGGACAACAGAAAAGTGAGTGAAGGGAGACATCGAACAGTGTAAGACATGACAAAATAATAATTTATAAATTATCAAGGGTTTGTGAGGGGGAGGGAGGGAGGGGCAAAAATGAGGAGCTGACACCTTCCGGACCCAACCGCTGAAGACAAAGCCGGTGAATAATAAGCAAATGTGAAGAAAGCTGATGGTGCCCGGCTATCAAAAGATATAGCGTCTGGGGTCTTAAAGGCTTGAAGATAAACAAGCAGCCATCTAGCTCAGAAGCAACAAAGCCCACATGGAAGAGGCACACCAGCCTGTGCGATCACGAGGTGTCGAAGGGATCAGGCATCATCAGAACAAAAAATCTTATAGTGAATTGAGGGGGGAGTGCGGAGTGGAGACCCAAAGCCCATTTGTAGGCTACTGGAGATCCCCTTGCGGACGGGTCTCAGGGAGGAGACGAGCCAGTTGAACCATACAACTTTCCTCTAGTTCCTAAATGCTTTCTCGTCCCCCACTATCATAATCCCAATTCTACCTTACAAATCTGGCTAGATCAGAGGCTGTACACTGGTACAGATAGGAACTGGAAATGCAGGGAATCCAGGGAGGATGATCCCATCAGACCAGTGGTGTGAGTGGTGATACTGGGAGGGTAGAGGGAGAGTGGGTTGGAAAGGGGGAACCGATTACAAGGCTCTACACGTGACCTCCCTGGGGGACGGACAACAGAAAAGTGGGTGAAGGGAGATGTCGGACAGGGCAAGATAGGTAAAAATAAATATTTAGAGGAAGATTTCATCCTGGGAATGGCCTAGTGATGCAATTGGTAGAGCACCTACAGTTAAATAGGGCAGTGAAAGCATTCATATTAACAGAGCATATTTAACCCTTCACATACATCCCGAAACTTGAGCGTGGCTGGGTGAGTCATTGATAATTACAGCATTGCCTTCAAAACAGAAACTGCGGGTTCTTAACATTCAAGCATCTGTAGAATAAACAGAGACACCCGGTTTTGTATCAGGAGTACTAAGCTTTTTATATCTTTATAATCTTTCTTTAGATTCATATATGTAAACTTCCTGGGTGATAAGTATTCCCGATTCGCCTAACAAGCTATCTATTAAAAAAAAGTATGAGAGATTTCTTTCAATATTGAGTAGTCCAGAGAAGATAAATCTCAAAATAAGAAAAGACCAAATTGGTAGAATTGGCCAAGTAATTAACTTCCTGCGTAGTCTGTCTTTACATACTGTATATCTGAACACAAGGCTAGTTTTCCCTTTAAGGAGCACAGTGTAAACCAGAAAAAATTAAATCCACAGTAACAAGAAGAAATAATAAACGTACAACAAAAATCAACAATACAAGGATGGATGATCCCTTCAGGATCAATGGTGAGAGTGACGATACCGGGAGGGTGGGGTGGAAAGGGAACCGGTTACAAGGATCTGCATGTGACCTCCTCCCTGGAGGATGGACAATGGAAGAGTGGGGAAGGGGAGACGCATGACAGTGTAAGATAAGACAAAATAATTTATAAATTATCAAGGGAGCAGGGAGGGAGGGGGACAAATGAGCTGATACCAGGGCCTTAAGTGGAGAGCAAGTGTTTTGAGACTGATGAGGGCAATGCATGTACAGATATGCTTTACACAATTGATGTATGTGTGAATTGTCAAGAATTGTATGAGCCCCCAATAAAATGATTTTAAAAAGAAATCAACAATACAGAAAACAAACAACAGAGCCAACAAGACTAAATGTTTCTTATTGAATGTGAAAAGATTAGTAAAGTTAATAAGCATATGCCCTAACTAATGGACAGAGACAGCATAAATTACTCGTTTAAGATATGAAATACCAAAAAATCAAACCAAACTCACTGCCATCAAGTCGATTACTTAGAGTGACCCGGACAAGGTAGAACTACCTCTCTGTTTCTGGAACTAACTACAGGCGCAGAACGCCTCATCTTTCTCCCATGGAGCAGCTGGTAGTTTTGAACGACTGACCTTGCAGAAATAGAGGAGTGTTATTTCAGCATGTAAAGACCTCAAAAGAATAATAGATACATAGAATAGCTTTAAACTAGTAAATTAGATGATGTGAACATATTCATTGGAAAGCATACTAAAACTTATCAGTTCCATGATAAGTTCCTTTTATCTGTTCCTCCTTTATAGGATGAATTAGAAAATCTGAATACCTCTGTATTAAAAGTTACTATAAAAAAGACTCTTACAAAGAAATCTCCAGGTCTAGATAGCTTCATTTGTGAATTCTATCAAACATTTAAGGAAGAAACATAATTTTATACAAACTCTCAGAAAAGATAAAAAGAAACAACTCTTATTAAGCCAGTATTATCACAGTACTATAGCTAGACAAAAGCATTTCAAGAAGTGGGGCAAAGGACTACAGTTTTATAATCATAAACCCATTAAATATTTTTAATTAGGATCATTTGGATAATATTGCATTAAAACATGTTACTTACACCATGACACCAAAAAACCTTGAGTCACACACAAAAAAATAATTAGTTGGATTTCATTAAAATATAAGATATCTCCTGTCCACCAATCCCTGAGGACGATAATCCTGCTCAGAGTAGGCAAAGCAGAGAGGACCATAGAGCCGGCCCCACTACAAGACACGACATCCCTCCCTGACCCATAACCCCGCAGGGGACAACCCTGGAGACATAGTGTGGGAATTGCACCTGATCTGACCCCACCACACCAAGGCGAAACACAGGGTGTGCAACAGAATAGCAAAAGGAAGAGAGCCACGAAGTCCCCAGGGAATACCAAAAATAGACTTTGATGGCACCCCATCAGACTGGACCGGAAAACACTCCTAAAGGTCAGCAAACAGACCTTGAACTATTTACAGGCTTTTCTTTTGTTCTCATTTTTGGTTTTGTTGCTTTGTTTTGCTCTGTCATGTTTTTTGTGCATATTATTATCTCTGCAGGTCTATGTAGATAAAATAGGTGGGATAAACAAGCTGGAGGAGAAAACAACAGGACTGACAGTTCGGGGGAGGGGAAGTGGACATGGGGGAGGGGGAGGAAAGGAAGTGGGTGTTAAACCCAGGGACAAGGGAACAACAAGTGATCCAAAAATCAGTGGTGAGGAGGGTGTAGGAGGCCTGGTAGGGCTTGATCAAGGGCAATAACAGAGGAATTACTGAAATTCAAATGAAGGCTGAACATGAAAGAGGGACAAGAGTAAAGTAAAAGGAAATAGAGGAAAGAACTTGGAGGCAAAGGGCATTTATAGAGGTCTAAATACAGGCACATCCATATGTAAATATATATATATGATGATGGCAAAATAGATCTATGTACATATATTTATAGGTTTAGTATTAAAGTAGCAGATGGACATTGGGCCTCCACTCAAGTACTCCTTCAATGCAAGAATACTTTGTTCTATTAAACTGGCATTCCATGATGCTCACCTTCCCAACAATCACTGAAGACAAAGCGGGTGTGTAAGCAAATGTGGTGAAGAAAGTTGATGGTGCCCGGCTATCAAAAGATATAGTGTCTGGGATCTTAAAGACTTGAATATCAACAAGCGGCCATCTAGCTGAGAAGCAACAAAATCCACATGGAAGAAGCACACCACCCTCTGTGATCATGAAGTACAATAGGGTCAGGTATCAGGCATCAAAGAACAAAATATAATATTATTGTGAATGAGGGGGAGTATGGAGTGGAGACCTAATGTCCATCTGTAGGCAACTGGACATCCTCTTTCAGAAGGGTCTTGGGGAGGAGACTCGCCAGTAAGGAAGCAATATATCACCAATGAAACATACAACTTCCCTCTAGTTCTTTAATGCTCCCACCCCCACCCCCACTATCATGACCTCAATTCAAGGCCATGCCCACACAGAGGCCTCATTGGCTATGCCCCACTTGACAGACTAGACTCCTCCCCTTCACTCTTAATCCCGTAAAGTCCCAAATTGATATCAGATTATGTAACTACCACAAAGGGTTTATTAAGGAAGTTAACAAGTTGTAAAGCCAGTGAGAAATGTTCTGGGTTGAGTTTATCAGGACATGTTACAAAATTCTTTCAAGTCTGCTCATAAGTGCCCAGAGGGGCATACAGCTCCGCTGTAAGCCTCAACCCATAGGCACTCACGCCACTACTGTAGGTCAGCATGCTCAGCCCCTCCAATGAAGTGCCCAGAGGTACCCTACTCCACAAGCCAGTCTCCTGCACAAAAGCACTTAGCTTTACTGGCTCCCTGAATGGGGAAGCCCATCACTGTTCCATGCTCTGGTTCCAGGTTCTACTGCCGCTGCTGCTCCAGTGTTGGAGCTGTCATCTGGGTCCAGGAAGCTTACCGTGCAGGGATCTCGGGTCCTCTCCTGGCTCTTGATAGTAATGAGATCCCTCCTCCTACTTCTCAGTGGACTCATTTAACACAGAGCAGGATAACACTTCAGAGAATCCTCTTGTCAATTAACAGGTGAATCCCATCGCATCTTCCCCCACCTTCTTTACTAAACCCATTCAGGGAGAGATCACTTGGTGGGAATTAAGAGACTCTAGAAGAGCCACATTGAATAACTCACTACCCTGCAGTCACTAGAAATTGGAATTGACTCAATGGCCGTAGCCGGTGGTGGTGCTAATAGGTTT